AACGTATCAGAAAATCCTAGAATATAATTTTTATATTCATATAAGAGAGACAACTCTTTAATTGCTAAAATAAAACGAATAGAATCAAATGAACAATTATGAGCTACCAGGATACATTTCTTTTCTATATTTTTAAAATATTCCAATAATTTAAGAAATACCATTCGCCGAGGGAAAGTAACAACTTCTTCTCCATTATGGAATAATTGTTTATTGACTCTACTCAAGCCATTAATTTTTGTTGCTTGATTGTCAATTGCTTTTGTAGGAGTAATAAACGAATCGAATTGTAGCTCTTCGCATTTCATACATATTTGTAAAATTTCACGAGATAAGTCGAAGCCTCCGGTCTCTAAATCAAAGAAGACTACAGCAATATCATGCGTATTGTAATTAAAGTTGTCACCAGTCACCTTCTTTATGCAATTTTCTATACCTAATGTTTCGTTAAACAATCCCATATTACTCTTGTACGTATCACATTCTATTTGCTCTTTTCTATGCCGTAACTGGGACCTTTTAGATTTCAATTCTAATCGTCTTTTTTTAAACTCTGGCTTACTTGCATTTTCTTTTTTTCTTAATGATATTTTGGTTGAGCGTTCAACATATTTATTCAGTTGACTATTCCAGGGAAAATTAATCGCATCCATTGAACGCCGCAGGTAGTCTGTGCCATAATTTTTTTCAGCAACAGTGCAAGCAAATCGATAGTCAGCGGATTCAGAGGTGCTGTATGAAATCCGTTTTGGTGCCTTACTACACATTGAATTATTCAGACTTTCATTTGCTTGGCTGCTAGCTGCTGCAGCAAATTTTTCTGCATTATCTGCCAGTTTTGTAAATGTATTTTTCAAGACCTCGAAAAGAGTCGCATTTTTCACTCTAATACCAGTATAATTTTCTTTATCAGCATTATCTTGACACCATTGGCTACAATTTTCGTGATAACCAAAAATATGATATGGGATGTTCTTTAAAGCAGCTTGAACTTTCGATATATTACCTTGATTCTGTTTGACTGCGTATGTGAAACATCGCTGAAGGTGTTTTATAGTATCATTAGATAACTCACGATCAGGTTCTGAAACTTTACTGTTATGGATTTCATGCAAAGTATTACCCACACCTTTTGTAGTGTGATTCATATCAGACTGCTTAACTATTTCGTAATTTATTGCATTTTGAATAGAAGCTATACAGCAACTATCATTATCTCCTAAAAACACCAACTTCAATATTAGCGGCTTTCAGAATATTGCTATTTGTAACTAATTGTACTGCACCATCAGCTTCCATAGCTTTCGAACTACTATAACAATTCAACCTACAATCATGTTCTTTTATTTTTCCATTAACAAGTCCTAAATCGCAAATTCTGCATTTTCTGTTTCTAGTGCAAAAATCAAGAATTTTTCCTGTTTTTAATCCTATAATTGCACAGTATCCATTTAAGCTATCATATGAATATCCGTTGCTTCGTTGACTCCATCCCATGTCATATGAGGCGAAAATTCTAACAATTTTTCCTTCTGGATTACTTTCCGATGATTCTATGTTCAAAATTAAAAAACCGTCTTGCAGTTTTTCAGGTCTGTAATAAAATATATAATTGCAATACAAAAAAAAACGAAAAAAACGATTAAAAAATATGTGCAATGTTCGAATTTTAAAAGTAATAAATTTATTCATTCTTGTATAGATAATTACAGAAGTGTACATAGGCTATAAAATATGTAAAAGTAAAAAATATGTAATATATAAAAATTATTGATTACACAAATATTTATAGGTTTTTTCTATTTAATATTCAGTTTATTAATAATTTATACAAGTATAGAAGTTAAGCACTATT